ATCATGCAAAGGCATTCTAAAGTGATAAATCAGGCTTTTTCACAAGAGCAAGTTTTACAAAATTTTAAGGTTTAGAAGTCCAACTGAATGAAATGATAGAAAGCATACAATTTCCATGGGCTTTCATTGCTGGTCTAAAGGGCAGTAAAAAAAATAATCCTGTTAAGAATCCAAAACTAAACAAAACGTGATTAAAAAGGCATTTCTCAGGAAAAAGTTGCTGACTGCTGAAAGGCAGAGGAGCTAAAGACAAATCCCCAAATATCACTGCCAGATCTTCTAATCCACCTAATTGACCAGTAGCCAATTATGGAAAAAATTGAGCATTGAAAGAAATCACTGTGAATGCAACCTGCTATTTTCTTCGAAGACATCCTATCCCAAAACTTTGCATTTGAAAAACTGCTTTCTTCATGAAATGGTGACCTTGTTCCTTGAAAAGAAAACCTCTACTTATTTCCAAAGTACTATGATTCACTTCAGGCCATCAATGTATGCCAGTAACATTGAGAGGGATCTTGGAATCCTAATCACTTAATCACTTAATGAGCCAACAGTGTGTGGCAGCAGCCAAAAAAGCCAATGCAATCCTGGGCTGAATTAATAGAGGGATAGAATCAAGATCACATGAAATTCTAGTACCGCTTTACAAAGCCTTAATAAAACCACACTTAGAATACTACAACCAGTTCTGGTTACCACAATATAAAAATGATGTTGAGACTTTGGAAAGAAAGCAGAGAAAAGCAACAAGAATGATCAGGGTGCTGGAAGCTGAAACATACAAAGAACAGTTACAGGAATTGGGTTTGTCTAGTCTAATGAAAAGAAGGACCAGAGGAGACATGATGGCAATGTTCCAATATTTGAGGGGCTCCCACAAATATGAGGGGGTCAAACTATTTTCCAAAGTACCAAAAGGCAAGACAAGAAACAACAGATGGAAACTAACCAAGGAGAGAAGCAACCTAGAACATTGTGATAACAGTGACAGCAATCAACCAAAGGAATAGCTTGCCTTCAGAAATTGTAGGGGTTCTTCACTGGAGGCTTTCAAACAACCATTTATATCATATGGTAATCTGAGCTTTTGCATTCTGGCAGGACATAACCATAATATTCAGGAACATTGGAAAGCTATTTTTGTGTGCTTCTTTTTTCTCTTAATGTAAGACTCAAGGCCAATTCTGGCCAGTTCCACAGGGTGCTTAGATCTGGCCTGTGGGCCTGCCCTGGAAACAGTGGAGGACAGTGCCTCTGCAAGCAAAAATGGAGCTCGGGAGGGCCACGTGTAGGTCTCCGTTTTCAGCCATTACGGCCTCCTGCAGCCCTCTGCCAGTGAAACGGAGCTTGGGTGGGCCGCACACCCTCCCGAGCTCCATTTTCACTGGCAGAGGGCTGCAGGAGGCTGTTGTGGTTGAAAAGGAGCTTCCATGAGTGACATCAAGTTGGCCGTGCCCACCCTGGCCATGCCCCCTGGTTCCCCCCAAAGTCGAACACAACCTTGATGTGGCCCTCAATGAAACTGAGTTTGACACCCCTGCCTTATCAGTATCACTCAATGTATTTGAAAGTCAGTAGTTCGGTAACTCTAAAATTCTTAGAGAAATGAAATCTGTCCACATTTACTTCCTCAGAAACATATTTCTGCATCCTCTGCATTTTCTACACCTCACTCGGTCATTTTTTTCTACCGCTAGAGAAGTTCCCCTCCTATTTTTCAAAGACTTCTCTCAGTTGCTACACATCCTCAGAGCCCCAAAGAATCTCTGTATTTCGGATGTCGTGTCAACAAATCCATCTGTTTCATTTGCTACTCTTCACATGGCAAATGCTTCCATATGGGCTTTCCCCCCTACTCTAACAACATTTGCTCAGTCACTCATTCCAAAGAATGTAAAGAATATTCCCACTTTGTTATCCACTGCTTTCTCACTTTCCCCCCACCTTGGTAAGTTTCTTAAAAGATTTCATTATCTACTTATGCCAACGCTGAAGGAGGCAAACACAACTAAAATTGAAGTAAAACTTGATAGTTCTGACAGCTATACTTTGTGTGATACAAAACCATCAAAAAGAAAAGGGCCAGCTGAGAGAATCTTCTCCCTGAAAAGGTAGCAATAGCAATAGCACTTAGATTTACAGCATCCTCCAAGCCGTTTACAAATGTCAGCATATTGCCTCCAACAATCTGGATCCCCATTTCCGATCCCCTTGGACGGATGGAAGACTGAGTCTACCTTGAGCCAGTCAGGATCAAACTCTGGGCTCTGGGCAGAGTTAGCCTGGAACACTTCTAACCACTGAGCTATCAAGGGCTCCTTAACTCAGGAGATAACCTTAAAGACTCAAAGAACCACAAAGGTCCTAACCGGAAGCCCCCATTCAATTATGGAGCAGACCGGAAGTCCAGTTCCCACATCATAGTCTCCTTTAACGCGGCGTCCTTTCTCCTCTGCTGACCAGAAGTCCAGTTCCCCCACCATAGAGTCTCCTCCTAGCATGGATTCCTTATTCCTCTACCTGTCCTAACCAAAAGCCCTATAAATTGTGGAGTCAACCAACAACAGGGAGCTGCACCAGAGGGATGAAAGAGCCACATGCGGCTCCAGAGCCGCAGGTTGCTGACTCTTGTCCTAGGAGTAGGAAGGAGTATCTTCAGATAGCAGTGCAATAATTTTTCTTAATTTATTGCAAAATCATTCTTCTGTGTTCCATACATATACTGATTTTTTTTACTTTAGGCATTGGAACAGTAGCTATCTGAGAGCTGAATTTAAAAAAGACAAAGAAATACCATGGTTTGACCAAAGTAATCTAATCCAACACCATTTGGCACAAATGTAGCAATATATTATTACAGCAATAGAATAACATTTGCCTTACTGTCATCTGGTGTCACTCCATCACTTCTTCCTCAAACTTGATGACTTTGTTATTTAATATCTCAATAAGGTATCAAAAAAAAAAAAAATCCAGGCATTTTGCCCACTTCTTGGCAGTACTGTGAGTTGATTGTGTTATGCACATGTTCTACATGCTTTGAAGCTTTTTGTTATTCTATGCCATTTCTCTCCATTAAAAAACTATAATCATTACAAAACTTGAATTTATACCACAAGCAGAAAAATGCTTCGAAAAAAAAATCAACAACTTAAAACTGGAAGTTGGCTGGAAATTAAGAAATGTTCCAAGAACAAGAGTAAGTTGCCATGGAAATGACTGGTCTTCTCTGTATGTAATTTGTAAACAATAGTCAAAATTGATTTAATGTTCTAATCTTAATGACACTAAATAATTGACATTTTTTTAATGGAATTTAGCCTTCTGGTTAAATTACTGTGCAAACTAATAAGGAAAATGTGTACCTGATTATGTGCAGTGTCCTTTCTTTTTGACACCCCAAGTTCTCAAAGGAATTAAACAGAAATATATTTGTGATGGACATTATTATTCAAATTACAGAACCTTTCAACTGATGCTCTTTTGACAAACCTGTTCAAACATGTACTTAGTAGATATTGCTTATGATACTTCAAAACTGCCAAAGCTCTTGGCTTCCTCGATCTGTTTCTTGCTTGATGCAAGAATTTGTTTAAGAGTGAGGGGGGAAAAACACCAACAGATTCTACAGTCTTTTACAATATTATTAGGAAGTATAAGAAACTCAAGAGTAATTCTGCCTTCAAAGAAGGTATAAATTGAGCTGCCAAATGAATTGACAGGCTTTTGACATTCTATTGCAATACTCAACTATCAATAAAGATCCTTCCCAAAAGTCTTATCCCCTGAGTTTGCTTGTCTCAAAGTATTTGACAAGTGGCAGCTTAAAAAAATGAGTATTCGCAATAAATTGCAGGTGATGTGTTACATAGATATTTATAAAAAGCTTTACCTGGAACTGGCAGTCTGTTAAAACAAATAGCATTTATGGGTTGGCTTACGTTTTTTGTTTTTGTTTTTTGTTTTGCTTGTTTTATAAAATCTCTCCCTGTGTGTGTGTAATGTAGCTTCCATCATGAACAATAAAGTATAACACCTTGGCTAGGTTTTATGGGATCTTGAGTTTATCAGATTTGGAGAGGTTGAGGTTGAGCCAACTCATTCCTTTTTACACTTAAAAACTGCATAGGTAGCTCTTGCTTAACAAACATTTATTTCAACAACTGTTAAAAGTTATGACAGCATTGGACGAATGATACTTGTGCCCAGGAGTAGAAGTTGTAGCCACTGCAGTACTGCCATGGTTGGGTGATCAAAATTTGGGTGCTTGCCAGCCAACCTGTATTTATGACTAGAGAATACACTTCAACTTCCCTCCACCCACCTACCTTCTCTTGTGTCTACCTTTTTGGCCACTTGGTACTCCACCACCTCTGCTGCCCCCACCACCCCTGCTGCCCTGCATTTGGCCACCCTTACCACCTGGTGCTCTACCATGTCTGCTGCCCTAGCTACTCTGTGCTCTGCCACTCTGCTGACTATGTCTGCCATCCCTGCCACCTTGAGAAAGGGCACGATGGGTGCCAGTGGTGGGTTGCTCCCGGTTCAGTCCAGTTCTATAGAACCGGTAGTAGAACCAGCGGGAGGCTCTGCCCACCCTCCACGACATCATCATGGGTGATCTGCGCATGTGCTCCCATTGTGAACCGGTAGTAAAGGTAAGTAGAACCCACCCCTGCTGGGTGCACGTGCTCTGCAGCAGGAAGAAAAGGATGGCAAAAGTCAGTTGAGGACAGACACAGAGGTGGTGGAAGCACAGGGTGGCTTGTAAGTCCTCCTGCTCCTGCAGAAGCCACCCCCCAGCCTAACTGTGCTCATATCAGGCTACAGCAGTCACTTACCTATCTGTCCGTCTGCTTGTAATCCTCCCAAGACTCCCAATTTCCTGTTGGCTTCTCCATTGATTTTGCTATTGGAAGCTGGTGGGAGGTCACGAGGAAATCCTTTCATAATAACCTGCAATCCTTGGCAACTGGGAGGGCCAGGATTGTTGCTAACCTATGTGGTCATGTGACATCACACTTTAAAACTTCATCACTTAGTAACACAAATTCCAGTCCTTCTTACTATTGTTAACTGAGGACTATCTACCGTATATACCATTCACTTCTAACAATGAATTTGGGCAGTCTCTTTAAATGACAAGGGAGTAAGCATTCATCTTTGATATCTTCTAATTTTCTAAGATTTAACAATTGAACTAAGTCAATTTCTCTTTGTTTCTTACTAATTTATTCTCTCTAAATTCTTTCATGGACCTCCTTTCTGTGGCTATGTATATAACCTAATATAACCTAATCAATATAACCTCCAGGACCCAGTGAGTAGTCTTTTGATCTTAAATAGTACTGGCTTTTATTTGGTTGTTTGCCTTTACAGCTTCCTTGAGTTCATTGCAGTCTGTTCCAGTGTAAAGGAATGGGATGCCTTCAGACAGAAAGGATAGAAATGATGAAACTGGGAATAAACTCCATAGGAAAGGAAGCTGTTACTTCCAAATAGGTAAAACACAAAACTGAGTTGCATGAATGTTAAGGGGGGGGGAGGGGGAAGGCTTCAAGAAAGAATTTGCTACAGTTCATCTTAGATTAAAATTGCTTTGCTACCTATTCCTATTCCATGTCCTAGATGGCTCCCAATATCAATTCCTAAGCTAATCAAGTTAGTTTATTCTAATAATATTATGTTTTCTGGGAGGCAACTTGTCTAAGGAGACTTGTCTAAATCTTTATTTCAAAACAACTTTGGGTTAAGACTTCTCTGTGTCTACCCCAATTACTTTGGAATGAACTTTATGCTGAAATGAAGCATGAGGGGCCCAATCTCTTTCTCACTCTCCCCTCCCCGCTTGGCCTTTAAAATACCCTGAAGTACATCTTTGAAAATAAGCTTTCAGTTATTGTCTTTAACATCATTGTTTGAATTTGAATTTTATAATTCATTGTAAACTGCTCTAAGATGTTGATAGTCAACACTGAAGGAAGGAAGGAAGGAAGGAAGGAAGGAAGGAAGGAAGGAAGGAAGGAAGGAAGGAAGTCTCCTGCTTGGTTGGAGGGTTGGACTAGATGACCTACAAGGTCCCGTCCAACTCTGCTAATCTATCTAAGGAATCCCTTGCAATGGGTCAATACAAACTTAAGCATCATTGAATATTATTTTTGGAGTACACCTGAACTTCTATATGAACATAGCAACAATTGTTCTGTATAGTTGTGTGCCTCACATTGTTAAATATTGTATTATTTTCACAACTTTCCAGGTACATTTAATGGAAAAATTAAGTGGGTCTTTACTTATATTAAGAGAGAAGGCCACAGTGCTCTTAATAAAAATTTTAACTGCTCTCATTCCAAATTTCATCCCCCTCAGATGAATTAAACCTCCATTCAGAGTTATATGAAAAAGATGCACAATCCATATTTGAATTAAATACAACCTTCAGTTTCTGAAGATGAGGCAGTTGCATTCTGCAACCCACCTCCTTTTGAATAGAAACCTGATAGCTATAGTATAAATCTTAAGCATTTAAAAAAAAAATCTAACCAAAAAGGAAAACCTATTCTAGGAGTTGAATCATTCATTATAGCAAAGCCAAGCCAAGCCAAGCAAAACCCCACAAAGGTTTTAAAAATTCTGTGCATGGAAGACTTGACATCTATGGGTTCTTTGCTCATGACCAGAGTGGTTGCATAATGAGCATCATGTTGAATTTCCAATATTATTCACTGTACATAGTCAGTCTGGCACGATTTGTGTTCTGTACAAAGATTCCTAGTTTTCTGTTTATTATTTATCAATCATTCCCCAGTGCCAATAAATCACTGCCCTGTGGAGCTTTAAATATAAAAATAAAAAGCTGGTTAAAAAAAAAAGTACAGCAATTAAAGTGGAAAGGGGCCATAAACCTGACTCACGGTATGCATGGAGAAGGCTCTCCCAAAATTAAATAAACATCCAGGAACAAAATGTGAAAAGGGCTTTCAGAATTGCCAGGAGCCTTTACTCTGCATTAAAATTCATTATGGCCATTTATTTTCTTTAACAGCTTGGTATAAGGAATAATACAAAGGCAACAGATAGATATTTAAATTTAGATTTGTTTTTATTCCAGTAGATCAAAATATTATTAAAATATTGGCAAATATTTGCTATTTTAAAAAGTGCAAAGATTAAGTGTTTAACTTTTGAACAAACCGAGCCTAGGCTTAATACTCTGTGCATAAAAATCTGCTATTTGTCTCCAAGCAGCCAAGCTGAGGCACAAGAAAACCACATCAAAATCCAGATCTGGATTTCAGAATTGTTCAAGTAAGGATCACCAAGGGATCTCACAGTGCTATGGATGGAACTGGAATCTGCAGTGGAATGGGTAGAAGACTGAGGAAGATTGCTCTGTCAGTCTCCCAGAGCCTATTATTGTCTTTTTCCTGTATTATCCCTGCTCCAGAGATTAAAGTTGGAGTTTTTGAGTGACCATCTCTCCTCAAATGTTTTGGTTGATTGGTGATCAATAGAGAACACAATCTTCAGTTGCACAGACCTATATGCCCTTATTTCATTAGAAGGGTACCTCAGAGACTCTATTACCATTTCACTCTGTGGTCATTGCAAAGCTGGAATTCACTATAACTGATCCATCTGGATTGAATAACAGCATCATATATGATTATTGTATTTTATGATTATGATGACTTATTACTTGTTGCTTGTATGTACACTGAGAGCTTATGTACTGGAGACAAATTCCTTGTTTGTCCAATCACACTTGGCCAATAAAGAATTCTATTCTATTCTATTCTATTCTATTCTATTCTATTCTATTCTATTCTCTAGTCTAGTCTAGTCTAGTCTAGTCTAGTCTAAGGTACAATTTCTTAACATTTTGTTGTTGTTGTTAGTTGCAAAGTCGTGTCTGACCCATTGCTACCCCATGGACAACATTCCTCCAGGCCTTCCTGTCCTCTACCATCCCCAGAATCCATTTAAGCTCACGCCTACTGCTTCAGTGACTCCATTCAGCCATCTCATTCTCTGCCGTCCCTTTCTTCTTTTGCCCTCAATCTTTCCCAGCATTAGGCTCTTCTCCAGTGAGTCCTTCCTTCTCATTAGGTGGCCAAAGTATTTGAGTTTCATCTTCAGGATCTGGCCTTCTAAAGAGCAGCCTATCATTTTAGCATCTGAGTAAACCTGGAAAGTGCTGAATACAACAGCTTACACAGCACCAGTGCTTTTAAAAATTCTATTAATGAAGGTATTGTTAATTGAACACCTACTGTATAAAAACCATATTTTGTAGATAGGAGGCATCTCCTCTAGAACATTTTATTTCATTCACTTGCTTCATCAACTGCCCATTTTCTCTATTTCTAAAAAGTTTTTTCCCCTTATATCTGATGAATTCTTAGGCATGCAAAACTAAAATAAATATGAAGAGAAAATTCCCCATGCGAGAGTTACCCTACCCAGAGAGGTATCTCTACAGACCATAAAACAATCCTATGCCTCCCATTTTCTTGGATCTATGGATACATGATTCTCACAAAATTGGGAATAGTTGATGATAGAAGTGAGATGAGATGGAAGCAGTGGTGGGTAGCGGTGGTGGCAGGAGGCTCTGCCCACTTGCCTGGACGTCTCTGTGTGTGCGCAAAAGCATTGTGCGCGCACACAGGCGCACACACATCAATGAGCAAACAGGTAGCAACGGAATTTGAAACCCACTACTGGATGGAAGGTGTACAAACTAATTGTCCAGGAGAGCCCAGGAGACAAAGGAGAAACAGAAACATCAAAGTAAAGAATTCAGAGCTCAGAATTTAGTTTTAGCTTAAAATATCAGAACTAAATAGCAAACATGCTTTATACATGTGGTTCCATCCTGGCTAGTAGCTACCTTATTTATTCATTTTCATGTCTTCATTTTATTTTTGGGATAGAAGAGCGCTATTTCCTTCTATTAACAGAGCCATTAAGAAACAGAAATATTTGCCAATCAGAATAACCAATAAATCTTCCAATAAATCCAGAGATATATTTGTACCCCTCAATGGAATCCCTTTGGAAAGAGAAACTCTTATAAATATGCAACTGTGGGGATTATTTCTTCACTGTTTTTACTGTTAAAATTGCATATTATTTTCACAATCACTGTTCATTTTCTAAAACTGGTCAGTGGATCCAATGGAAAATTCTTTCATAGGACTGACATAGTCAGGCATAGTATTTCACTGACAATCCTTTCCCCTTTTTACCTATAAAGTGTTCTTTTAGACTCCAAGACTATGCCTAAAATAGACAAATATGTGTTTCCTAATAGAAAGTTATGCTCTCTCTCCCCCTCTCTCTCATATCAGGAGGCTCAATAAAGTTTTCATCAGAGCCAGACATAAAACAATATGAATTTTGCTAAAGAGCAGAGTCACCAAACTAGCATGCTATGTATTATGGAAGCAGAAGATACAAGGACCATGTGTCCCTACTACGGTACTTTATTATGACTTAATACTTGTAATTATTGCAGAAACTACAAGCAATTACTTCTGTATATCTCCCCATACCATATGGATCTCTGTTACCAACTTCAACAGTGTCAAGATGTTATCCATTGAAGCGGTATATTAAAACTTAAAGTGTTAGGCAGACACACTGACCCAATATCTGTCATGGCAAGAATTCATAATCTCAGTCTGATGTATTGCATTTCACACAAAGAAATACCAAGCTGGCATTTGAGTGGTGATTGGATGTAAGCTAGCTCAATTTTTTTTTTACTATCATGTCAGTTTCATTAGAATTGGGCATGCTTCTTCTGGATTACACTTTCCAAGTTGAATATGGAAGCTACAATGGGTTGGTGAAGTTCAGTTCAATGACATATTTATAAATCTAATATTAGAGGAAGGATGGTAACTTATTTGACATAAAGAAGACCCTGAAATGTTCTCTATTCTAAAATCGTGAAAAGGGTGTGGGTGTGGAATTGATCATTTCCTTTGGTCACTATTTCAAGATCTAAGAGATCTTTAATAGCAACCTAGGCAAAAACATAACAGATTCTGAATAAAAGCGTCATAAGCAAACTAATGCAAAAAAGAAAGAAATATGTTAATTTGTGTTTCCCCTTTGGTCAGGAAAATACGTTTTTGTGAAAGATTAGATGACAGGACAACACATTTTTCAGTTATTAAACCCCACCATATGATTTTTTGAGTATGAAACAAAAATAATGAAATTGCAAAATGCAAAAGGAAAATGATCTAGATTTCATGAAATCTTATGGTATCTGGATAGCTTGCAAAGCTGGGTGAAATTTTAATTTAAAAAAAAACATTTTGAGCAATATTGGAAAACCACTTTGGGCATATTATGGGCTCCTGCATTCTGTCCTGCAGAATCATACTGCTGAACTCACAATTAAATCTTTGGTGCTGTTTATATATGTTCCTGGTTTTTGGACCAAAAAATCCTTTACAACATGTTTAAAACTGTCTTCTAAAATGTTTGGGTTTTACCATCTTCCTTTTGTGCTGAAGTATTCCATTTCTGAGAGTCAAAGGAATGTATGAAACAGTAATCATGATTAAGATATTAACACTGCACCATTTGTCCCATGACAGGTGGCAACAATCTGAATTTCCAGAACAAAAGGCAAAAGGAACCTGATTTTTTTCTACAGATTTCTACAATATAGTTTTACTTAAGAATCCACTGAAAAAAAATGTTTGCAATTTTTATTATATATAGTTGACTCAATTATATAGTTGACTCAAATCTTTTGAATTAATGTACAAACTGATAGCCACATCCATAAAGTTTTGCTCTTTTTCCAATGTTGTTGAACTTTTGAGTTCAAAAAAGATATAGGAACAAATACACATGCACATTCTCAGCATAAAATATAATTAGATATATAAATCCTCTGTAAAAAAAAGTCTGGCTCCCCAACAAGTTGTGAATATTTTTTTTAAAATGGGGATTAAGATAGAATTAAAATAAATGTGTTGATGGATACATAGAAAACAGATTCTTGCAAAAGGTACACTATGAGCTATGACCCCTTGTTAAAAATTTATATTTTATAACTTATAGAGAGAAGAGGGTTTGGAGGAGGAAAATAATTAGGACCACAAACTTCTGAACAAGACTTTGCAAGTTAGGAAAGAGAAGCTGCACAATGTTGCACATTGATGTAGATCAATGTTTCATATCACCTGAAAGCTGATAAGACTTGCAAAATATCTTTTGACATGGTCAAAGTAAAGAAAGAAAAACATAGATGAAGGATCTGTCAATCAAAAGCCAAGTCATTGCTAAGAAGGCAAAAAAGGAGGCAAGTAGGGCTTGGCATTCTCTTTGCTTATTTTTCTTCATACATATACTTATTTATTTTTTGAAAGAGTGCCTAAAACTCTCCTTTGCAATTACCAGTATTTCAGCAACTGTGGAAAAGTACCTAAAAGAGGCAAGTCCAGTGTCAAAGAACACTGCTGACTTTGTTTCTCTCCCCAACCCAATACCTTCCAGCTCAGATGCTGGGAAGAATGAATGGTTTTTTTATTCTGTTCTCAAGCTTGCTTAGAAACTAAAATTTTCCCCCTCATCATCTTAAGCTAAAGAAGTCACAGGTAACTCACTGAACAAGCTTCTATTGCCTACTTCTTCTGCATTGCAGCAGAATCTACACGCACAATTACAAAATGAATATTTTTTAAAACCATGGGGAAAAGAAAAAAGTAAAAACAGCTAGTGGAATATGATAGACCTGTTTGATTATATAGTGCTGCAGTGAACTCCAGGCATTTAAAATTTTTATTTAGTCTTCTCCTTTAATAACCCCTGAACTTAGAAGACAAGTAATTTAACAAGTAACAAAATTTAATACCTCTTGGATCACCTGTGCTAACACTATCGCACCCTATGAGAGATGCCAGAAAAGGGCTAAAGGTCTTCACATTCAGAGTTTGCATCTTCTAACTTGGCACTAGCTGTGTCAAAGAATGAAAGAGTTCACCTTTCACCTTGTTCGTTCTTAGGATTGGTGGTGGTAGGGAATTGCTGGAGGAGAACAGGCCACTCTACAAACAGCCCCCATTTTGCTTCCTCAGTTAAAAGCTTTTTAACTGTCTCCCAATTGATTTTACCAGACACGCAGGGAGAATTAGCTAAAAGGCTCTTTAACAATTCATCCTTTTGAATTAAGCTGAAAGGTTCTCAAGGACTTCTGTTCCTCCCTCTTCTTTTCTTTCCTGAAACAATTTCTCAATACAAGTAAATTATTAAAACAAACCTGAAATGTAAACCAGGTGAAATAAAATAAACATTGTAGGTAACCACCAAGCACCTCAGCTTTTAGCCCAAGGAAAGAAAAAAACATTGGATGAGGGACAGTAAAGTATATCACACGCCAGAAGATATTTATTATTCAGATGTACTACAGGAGTCTTGGGGGGTGGCAATGATGAAGAGTGGGAAAT